GTAATGATAGCAGAATTGGACCCAGGGTCTACCTGAGTCCAGAATTCATGCTTTCTCTGCCACCCATGCTCCTCTCTCAGGTGGAATTCCTTCTGCTGAACCTCAGTGTCTAAAGCACCTTGTATCTACCTCTAATACCGTACTTTACTTGGTACGTAATTACTAGTTGACATGTCCACCCACCCCGCATGCTGTGAGCTCTTGCAGGACAGGTCTGGGCCTTCTTTGCATCCTTAGGATCCAGCAGAGGACCTGGTACTTTGTGGGTAATAGTAATTGTCGACAAGGTTGAAGCAAATCCCAAGGATGCAAGGTAGATGCTCTTTCACTTATGCTGACAGGTGGACTCCTTCATAACCCTAAGGACCCACCCCGAGCTCCTTCCTTAGCACCTAACAGTGTTGCACAAAACAAATCTCTTTCCTCGGCTACAGCATTCTCTACAGCTGTGACTGATCAAACCAACAAGATGAGTGCAGTTGGCAAAGGTATCAAAAAAGAATAAAGCACAGTTCTAATACTGTAACTAATAACATTTTACAGTATTGTCCTATATAATTTCCATGACCCTCTTTATTTGGTTATCTGCCCAATGTACATACTTGACACTTGATTTATTAAGTATGTTGCCTGGTTTCACTGTCTTGTCAATCAGAGTCTGAGGCTATTTATTTGATTTGCTTCACCAATAAGTTTGAATTATCAAAACCGCTGTTAGTTTTATGCAAGCTTGGTTTTTTATTATTTTATAATAACTCTTCAGTTCTGTTTGAATTATTATGTGCAAATTCCCAGGCACAGCCATATATTACTTCATATTTTCTGTTTTTTAAAAAACAAAAGTTACCTCAATGCAAATTATGACGTTTCCTTGCAAGAAAAGGCTTAAGGCATTGTTTATTAGAAGAGGGAAATTGCCCTTATTCACTTAAAATAGCTGTTTAGGACTTTGCTTTTTATTCAGCAAATGATAGAGGAAGTATTTTCATGAAAATATGCATCCTCTTCCCTGTCCATATACTGTTTTAATTGTCTTTTAACCCTTCCAAAAGGCAGAATCCCTTCGTCCCTGCCGTTCAGCTCACCCTTTGCTTTGTCAGTTGCTATTTCAAAACGATTGGGGTTTTATGCCCTTTGTAATCTTCTTTAAATCTTTGCTAAAAGGATTCTTTTCTACCCTATCAGCACTGAGGTTATTTATCAAAGTGTTTCATTTTGCAGCTACCTCAAGGCTAAAAATACTGGCGCTCACAATTCCAAGATGGCTATCCCACAGAATGCTATAATGACCAATTTATGAGAAAGGCAGTAGGAAGCAAAGGGGAAGGAAGGCATCATTGTTTCATACCCTGGGCTTTTTTTCTTTTAGCATTCAAAATTAATAAAAACACGCATTATTATAAGCCAGATGTTGGAAGGATCTCTGACTGAATAAATCCACAGTGAATGGGGTAGGAGTGAAACATGTGGCAGGAGATCAAGGGACTCATGCTCATGAAAGAATGCTTATAATTTATTATTACAATTTTACGATGACCTCTTGATAAAATGTTCTACTCTTTAGGGAAAATTCAGCATGCTTATTTCAAAGACAGTGTTTCCATTCTCTGCCCCTAACAAACCTACTGATTTGGGGATTTAATGAATCCAAAGTAGTCTAAGTTTAAAATAGAATATTTATAGCATTTGCCAGAGAACAAAATGGAACCTTCATTTCTACTGAGAATTCTAAGTATCCTTATGTATAATTGTTAGTCAAGGAAGAACATCAAGGAGAAAATCAATTATAAGAGAAAGTGAGAGACAGCTATCAACTTATTGGACGCATGCTTTTCGTTTTTCATAAGGAATGGCTTTTAAATGTGTGTCCATTTATTATTTTATAGCTGATTTAAGTATTTGGAAACAAGAACATTTGTTTCATAAATCACCAAAGACATGTTCCTTCCTTAGTTTTAGGATAGTCTCCAGGCTTCTTTTCATGTTCCCCAGTGTAGTCACCTGAATTACAAGTATGGCCAATGTTTATTTGCCTACCTCTAAATGTATTATCTTTGTCCCCCTCTTAGCAAGACAGTTGCTCTTCCAGAATGGACCCATTCGTTTCGCTTATTTATTTAGTTTATTTTTTGTGAACAACATAATGATTCAATAGCTGTATACGTTGCAAAATGATCACCGTAATAAGTCTAGTTAACAACTCTCCCCATACAGAGTTACAAAAAGAGATTTTTTTTTTTCTTGTCATGAGAACTTTTAAGATCCGCTCTCTTAGAAGCTTCTAAATATGCAGTACAGTCGTATTAATTATAGTAAGCATGCTGTACATTATGTCACCATGACTTATTTTCTAGCTGAAAGTTTATACCTTTTGTCCCCCATTATCCATTTAGCCCACCTCCCAACCCCTGCTCCTGGCAACCACCAGTCTGTTCTCCATATCTATGAATATGCGTTTTTTTAGATTCCACCTATAAGTGAGACCATATGGTATTTGTCTTTCTCTGATTGACTTATTTAGCATAATGCTGTCAAGGTCCATCCGTGTTATCACAAATGGCAAGATTTCATTCTTTTTTATGGCTAAATCATATTCCACTGTACATAATGACTGTGTGTGTGTGTGTGTGTGTGCGTGCACGCGCATGTGTGTACACCACATCTTCTATATCTATTCACCCGTTCACACTTGGGTTGTTTACGTGTCTTGGTCATTATAAGTAAGGCTGCAGTGAACATGGGAGTGTTCTCATTTTCTTTGGATAAATACCCAGAAGTGAAATTGCTGGATCATAGGGTATTTCATTTTTATGAAATGATTCCATTTTGACCTCATTTAGGAGGGTAAGGAAAATTAATTTAGCCAACTGTCACCTTTTACTCCAAATTTTGCTTTTCCTTAAATCATGATGACTGTGACACATCAATAGTTTTTATCTCTTCTCGTGCCATTTCCCTTATTTGTCTGTGTGTGTGGACACCTCGACCAAGTGGGTGAACTTGGTCTCCCACACCAAGCTCTGCCGATTCCCATGGCAATCCAGTATGGGTCTCAAGTTTTTTCTTAACCCACCAGCTCTTATGTATGGCCCTGTAGTTTGAGTCAAAATCCAAAAAGAAACCTTTAGTAACTAAAAATGATGGAGGAGTGAGGCCTGACCACAGCGGCGGCTGCTAGACTACTTCCTGGCATAGAACCCTACAGCAGGGATGTCCTGATTTTTTTTTTTTTTTTTTTTTTGTAGAGTCTTGGGAACAGCTAGTGATTTTAGACTGGAAGAGGAGCTGGTTGTTTTGCCTTTCACAAGCAGCTGCCTTCAAGGTTCATATTTTGAAAGAGGAGGGGAAAAGAAGTGTAGTAGGTCTGCCACCCTGAATATAGAGATGCATTGAAATTGAAATTACTTTTGAAATATATTTCCACAAAGACTAACTGGCAATGAGATGAATGTTTGTGTGTGAGACAGAGTATGGAAGGAATGTTAATTTGCTTCTTGCTGTTTAACTCAGAAATAAATTTTGCAGCGTATTCCCCTAGTGAACCCCATTGCTTTTTGTGAACTGTTCTCCTGTTATATATACGATGGGCCTCTTGAGAAAGTAAGTCGTAGACAGTAGGGTACATACCTGATTGACAGCAAGAGATCAATCCACTAACCTGTTTCAAATTATGAGGCAGTTGTACAAAGGAATGTTGACTGGCTATGAATCCAAACACCATTCAGAGAGAGTGTTTTGGACTTTGAGTCAGAAACAGGTGGTCAAAGGGCCAAGGCCAGGGTGTTACTTAATTTCAGCTGTTGTTCACAGATGTATTGACATAAGACAGTGGGTTTAAAATAGCCTATTTGACAAATGTGTTTAATTTTTTATAAATATTACTCATTTACATATGCTTATTAAAACATGAGCTAAATCTTCCTGTGTCTTTGAAACAGTAAATGGTGACCCCTTGTATTGGCTCGTGCACGCCTCTGTCTTTGCTCTTGGTTTGGGTGGCTCTTAGATGAGCCTGCCCATCTCCTGAGAGCAGGGAGAAAAACCATGTGTTCAGCTTCCTCTTTCACACTGAACTTGGTAAACCTGGTCCTAAGACCAGAGATCATAGATATTGTCATCTTAGAGAAGAAAGAAGGGGCAGCTGCAAGTTTCATGCCTCTCAGAAGTGATAGCCTGAGCCGGCTGGAACCTGGCAAAATTTTCACCTCTTCTCTTTCCGAGGCTGTAAGAGTGACGCAGTAACTCTGGGGCGAGAGTGAGTGCTTCTGAAGCTTTGCCCGGTTATGGGGGAACTTCCTGGGGCATGAGCAGTGAAGGGCTGGGAGTGCAGGAGGGAACATATCTTATTAAAATGATTATACTTATTAGCATTTCATATTGTTTTTATTTAGGAAACTCTAGAAGCAAACCAAATTTCACATTCTGGGTTTGGGTCAGGGGTTGGGGGAGTTCAAAAGAAAAATTGCTGTTCAGAATTCTGAATTAGTCACTCTTCTGCCAAAAGCCTACCTTCATCTTGTTGATTACTAAGACTTGAAAGAATTAAAATGGGTTTACTCTCAAGTGGTAGTCAGTATATGTGATAGAAAGGAAAGTTGCAAAACATGCTCTTTTTGATATGACGTGCACCATAAGAAAAGTATTATGTATGTAACTGGATGTGAAAGCATTCATCATTCATAATGTGACTTTTCTGTATTACATTAAAACTGTTTTCTTTACCTAAAGACTATGACCAAATAACACATGCTTCTTGCTGTAAGTGTCCAATAATTCCAGTAAGTGGTTTTCTAAAATTTTCATATGTAAAACTTTGTTGTTATAGTTAATAGTTACAATTTTTAAATTGTTATACTTCTCTCGTACCAAACAGATTATATCAAATAAAAAGGAAACTACCATTATCATTGCCACTCAGATATCAGTAACAAACAGCTTAGTTCTCAGTCTCTGCTCAAAGAATTTATAAGCAGTACCCAGAAGGTTTCAGAGGTATATCTGTGGTGCTCACTTCACCACATCTCCTAAAATTGGAACAATACAGAAAAGATTAACTTGGCTCCTACCCAAGTATGAGATGCAAATTTATGAAGCATCCCGTATTTTTTTTATTTCACTTATAACTAGAGGATGACTAGAGGCATCTAGAGTAATAAATTCACAGAGACTGAAAGTAGAATAATAGTTGTCAGGTCCTGAGGGAAGGTGGGAACGGGGAGTTCGGGTTTAATGGCGCAGAGTTTCAGTTTGGGGAGATAAAAATAAGTTCTGGAAAAAGATGGTGGTGATGGTTTCACAACACTGTAACGCGTTTAATGCCAATGAGCTGTACGCTTAAAAATGGTTAAAATAGTAAGGTTTTTTTGTTTTTTGTTTTTTGTTTTTTTTAAAAGATTTTTATTTATTTGTCAGAGAGAGAGAGCACAAGCAGGGGGAGCAGCAGAGGGAGAGGGAGAAGCAGGCTCCTCACTGAGCAAGGAGCCCGATGCGGGACTCGATCCCAGGACCCTGGGATCATGACCTGAGCGGAAGGCAGACGCTTAACGACTGAGCCACCCAGGCGTCCCAGTAAGATTTATGTTTATGTGTTTTTTACCACCATAAAAGAAAAGGACACATGCATATCATTTGCTCTCGTGAAGAGCAAAGGGATACAAGAATTAACCAGAGATGTTGGATCTTAATGAGTATTGATTAAACACTTACCATTTTCCAGATTCTGTGCTCAGATATATTGCATTTGTGGGGCACAAGCTTTCCTACTTAGAATCTGCCTGGGGAGACTTCGGGGAAATGGAGTTGGGAAGGAGGATGCACTCATTAAGCTGAGGGATGTTGATTGCCACGTCTCTTGGTATTGGGTAGAAGCATCTGACAGCCATTCCTTACTTGCACCATCACGCACTGAAGATTATTAGAGAAGGGAACCTTAGCTTTCAGCTGGCTCACCTGCATCGTTTTATAGGCTCAGAGCAACCAGGATGTGCCGTGTCATACATCTGGTCAGTAAGACTGAAGACCGACTCCACTCTGATGTCTCTGTATCCACTGGTATTTGTTCTGTGTCCCTGCTAAGGCCAAGCTAAACAAAACTGGGTGCAGGGAGCTATTTTTCAGCTTTAAAAAAAAAAAAGATTTTATTTATTTATTTGACAGAAAGAGAGAGGGAGCACAAGCAGGGGGAGCATCAGGAAGAGGGAGAAGGAGAAGCAGGCTCCCCACTGAGCAGGAAGCCCGACACGGGGCTCGATCCCAGGACCCCGGGATCATGACCTGAGCCGAAGGCAGATTCTTTAACCAGCTGAACCACCCAGGCGCCCCTTCCACAACTTTTCTTTGAAAACAGCCCCTTTTAGCAGATATGACTCAGTAAAGATGGTTCTGAAGCTCAAAGACTCAACACCCTTGAATACTTAAGTCAGCATTGGGGCATTTATAAAGGACATAAAAATCAGCTGCATTGTTCATTTTGCAGGATTTTTTTGTCACATTTGTACTTTCTGTTTGCTTAGAAATTACAGACCAGCATATGAAAAATGACAACTGCCATCCCTTCTCATATATGATTGCCATTAGATTTTTTTCCGCGCAGGATGAGCACAGATTTCTCGGAAAGCATAAGGTAATAATCTGTAGCCAGGGCTTAATCATTTGTGAGGGATCCGACAGAAAGGTTTTAGCTCTGTGAATGTCAACGGCTGAAGCCCTTCAAATCATACACCTCATTAGGCTGTCTCCCAAGCCAGGGCGGGGATCATGTTCACGACTGTGCGAGCACAGTTCATGGGTTGCCACTCAAATGTACCTAGAAGAAGGAATAGAAGAGGAAAGAAAAAGATTTTATGGGTCTTTTTTGTACGTTTATCTTCTGTACTTGGTTGCTGTAGGCTCTCTTAAAGACTCATTTGGTCCTCAAACTAACCGTGGATAGCCAAAGCGGATGATACTATGTCCTTTTGTTCTGCACGAGCCTGATGTTCCAGTAAAGCTGATAGTACACCTCCGGCCCCGGATGCATTTACTGATCCTGTTCCGTCTGCAGCACCCACGCCTAGTCTTGGCCTGTTGAGATCCTCTTCCTCCTTCAAAACCCTAACTCTCATGTCCTCTCCCTTTTTTAATCTTTGATTAACACAAAGCACCCGCCCTCTGATCATATATTTCACATATAACGTGTGTCTACTATTGCTTTGATGTGTACATATCAACTAATAGCCACATCCTAAGTATAAGCTCTTTGAGGGTATGAATCAAATCTCATGCATTTGTGTCTCCTGAAGGAGATTTTAAGTATAAGTAATTACAAATGCCTGTCTTTAAGGAATTCTTCGGTTAGAACAGTCCTCGGACCAGCAGCAGCAGCATCCCCGGCGAACTTGTTAGAAATGCACATTCTCTGGTCCCACCCCTGACCTTCTGAACCAGCAACACCAGGGTGGGATCAGCGATCTGTCTTTCAGCAAGCTGTCCAGGTGACTCTGATGCATGCTAACCTTTGGGAACTACTGGTTTAGAGTGTATTTAACTTAATGAGCAGTGAATAAACGGTGAGGATCTATCCTGGCACACCAGTGAGCCAGTCATATTACCTACACAGTTACATTCTAACTCCACATGATGAAAACTAGATGCCACAAAAAAAAATGTTTAAGATGAAAACCTAAATGAATCTTTCTATCTGACTAATGCATTGAATACAACAGCTCCAATTCACAGGAAGAAATACAGAATTGCCGAGCAGTCATCGATGATGCACAACTGCTCATGATTGAATAGTACAAAAGCGTGGGGGCAGAGGGAGAGGGAAAGAGAGAATCTCAAGCAGACTCCGGCCCAGCACGGGCCTCAATCTCACAACCCTGAGATCATGACCTGAGCCAAAACCAAGAGTCGGATGCCCAACCGACTGAGCCACCTAGGCACCCCTGTTTATATTTTTTGATCAGCGTTACTACCTTTAAAGTAACTATAAAGAAAGGACAAATGATATACAAGACTCAGGATCCCCTTGTCAGCCAACTCTTGATATTTCTCTCATTTTGGGGTTCAGGGCCCCTAAAGTTACAAGGAACTAGCAATATGTGATGTTGGCTGGAAATGCAACATTCCAAGAAACTAGGTGGAAATGGTCTAAGCCACCAGTCTAAATAATCAGTGAACGTGTTAGCTCATCTCTGTTTTCTTCTCCCAGGATTTTATGTAAGTTCTGTGGTCACCCTAGAGCTCTCAGTTTCTCTGTAATTCTGGTAAAAAGGAAGGAAATAACTTTCTAATACACTATTGCTATCCTCTCTATTTATTGGGGTAGTTGATGTCAGTCAAAATGAGTTCCGGAAGTTCTTAGCAATTTTTTTTTTTTTAATATTGAGAATAAACACTTGGAGCAAACCGACCAAATTTAAGTGTTTTGAGGATAGTAACAATGACAGGAAGAGCCCCTCAATTTTCTGCTAAGCATCAAACTGAACAGTTTCCAAACTCCTGTTGGCAATGTCAGTTATCATGAGGGAAAGAGAAAAAGGAAGCGGTTTCAAGAAATATCTTAAGTTTCCTTTAGCTATAAGAGAAATGACGGCAAGGCTGTCTGTGAATTTACTAAACCACAGTTATCAAAAAAGGAGGGGTCCTAAACAGCCTCTCTGTTGATTATCATGGAGTCCGTATGTAAGTCAGATGTTGTGTGATGATATGAAAGAGACTTTGCTTTCTAGATCTCTTTGATGGCATGGACCTGCATCCACACTGCTGTCTATACCTCTTCAAAGGAAGAGAAAAGTGGAATCAAACCTCTCAATTTTCAGACTAAGGATTTTGGGTGACTTAGTGGCTTGATCAAAATTAGCATCTGTGAATGTGCTATAAAAATAGCCAAGGCCCAAGGGGTTCAGTATGTCTTGCCAGAGCCCTTCGGAAATCAGAGCAGGTCTTCATGTACGTAGGTGTGAACAAATACGCTTTTTAAAAGAATAGTCCCATTAGGACAGAATTGGGAGCGCTCTGTGGGAGATTGGGTCTGAGTGTGCTGGTTTTCTGTAAGGCCTTGTGCATCTGGGCTGGAGCTTGAAGTCATTGGAACAGCCCACTAATAGAGCAGGCTAGTGTGGTGAGCTGAGTGACCCATGGCTCCTAGCTTGAGCTTTCCTCACTGTTTTGCAGGATTGCTGCAGCTTTGTGCCATCAGCCAATAAACAGAAAAGACTACCTGGCATTTGCTGATGTCCTCAGTCTGGTTGCTGTAAGCCTTTGAAGGGCATCTGAGTTCATCCAACACACTCCCCATGGAAATTGTTATTCTGAAAGCCATAGGTTCTTAATGTGTTCTTGGGGCCAATCGAAGCTCAGTAATATGGAGGAATTCTTGTGGAAAATACACATTCCTGGGCCCCATCTCTGACCTTCAGAAAGCTGCATTTTGCGTACCTCCCCAGGTGATTCTTAAATATTTAGAAGTCTTGCTTATGTGAAATAGCAAAAATGTAAGGATTCTTACAGCCTTAGATTACAGTTTGTGTTGGTCTTGAACATGGAAGAACGGCCATTGTTGTCACTGAAAATTAATATATCCTAGTAAATAGGCCACGTGGATTTCTAATGCTGTGACTATAAAATGTGAAAGTGAGGCATTACTAACCTCAAAGTTCAGATTCATTGAGAATTTGTTTAGGTGTGACAGAGCTGATGGTCTTATTTATCCAAACTAAGACTTCTTATTAGCTATGAAAAAGGATTGCCATAAACTGCTTATTAATGTTGATTAACTCTATCTAAAAGGAATAAGTAATACAAGCGTAGAGCAGGCTGCAGTCAGAAAAACGTCATCTTTCATAACGTTTTCCCCCGTTTAATTTCTTTTTGTGTTCCTTCCCGAAATTGTGAATCTACTACTCTATCAGAACCTTTTCTTCCCTCTGTAGATTCTTCATTTGCTGTTATTGATGGTGACATTTTACTTAAGTTATCCATTTAGGCTCTCTTCAAATTCAAAGTGATAATTATTTTAATAAGGAGTGAAAGGGAAAATTGACAAAATACGCTCAGAGTTGTCAGCATTGGAGATGACAAACAGTAAAAGCTTAATCTTGGAGGATTGTCAGAGAGCTTAATGTG